AATAAATAATCCACACATTATTTAATTGCTACAACAACATCTAGTTTAATAAAATTAGAGAATAAATATATGATGAATTTTTATTAGACCGAAATTATACATTTAAAAAACTAGAAGAACAAAAACAAATTTAAGCCTTGTTAAAACTAAATAATCTTTTAAAGAATGTCTATCAGGTAGTTTAAAATAATAATATATACTATCATATAAGTTACCTGTTGGATACTACGAATAGTAATATGACTGTTCATGTATGTACAAAACTAGCTTTTATTATGCTATAATTATTAAAGGGTCAAAACACTTTGCGAAAATACATGGTGCAATTAAAATATTAAAAGTAAATAAAATACATGTGTAGTTTTAAATTGTTTTTTGTCATCACTTACTAATGAGTATTGTACAATTTTTTTTTTCAAAAATATTGTAAACCCTAAATCCCAAACATGCTAAAATGAAATTACACATTAAAAAAAAAAAAAGCGGCTTAAATCTAATTAGGCGTGTATATAATAATATAAGAGTGATGGGAATGGATGAATATTCAGAATAAGGGCCAAGAGGAAAAGAATATTTGTTTCTTTGCATCACCAGATAAATATAAGGAAAACTTTGAATAAATATTTAATTATTTGTGTGTAAGTGGGGAGTCATAATCAAGGTGTTAGTTTGAGAGGACTTATGGGAGGCAAATGGAGAAACAGTGGGTATGATATTCTAAAATGATATTCTGAATGTTGATTTTTGAAACAAGTTTTTATTTTTAGTATTAATTGTTGACTTTCAATTAAGAAATATCTTAATAGATAAAAAGAATTGAAGGAAAATTATCTGGGTCTGGGTTTGGATAACACATTCTTTGTCTAAATCTTACAAACTTGTTTTCTTTGACCCGTAATGTATTTCTTCGCTGTCCTTTACTAGTTTAATTTTTTTTTATAAAATCTAGGACATGTAAAAATTATTTTTATTATAATAAAATATTAATTTTTTGGATCGACTTATAGCTAACACATTATTATATTTACAAATATTTATTTAAAATATATAATAATTTATTAATTTTTTTTAATATCGTCCTTTATTTTCTTCAATTTTCTTTTTATAATTAACTTATCGCAAGTGAACCAAAATAAATAATTATTTTTAAAAGTTTATATTAAATTAATTTAATTTAAAACATATATATATATATATATATATATATTTGTTTTACATAATACTATAATTTAATTTATATTTAAACAAAATATATGTTTTAAATAAAATAAATCATTTAAAGTTATAAATAATTTATTTAATTAATTAAGTATTATTTTTTATGATAAATATTATAAAATTTAATATTTTTAATTAATAAATAAGTTTTATTTTTTTATATTTAATAACTTATTAATCAATGTTTATATAACCAATTATTTTCATAATTGAGATTCGTGTTATTTATAATTTTTAAAATATTTATTTTGATTTAAAATATATTTCAGGATTAACTTATTTAAAATACATAGATATAAATTAAATTGTATTATTATTTAAAATTTTTTTAAATTATTTTGATTTTTAAAATTATTTAGAAGTATATTTTTTTCTTTAAAATTTTAATTAATTTCTTATTTTAAATTACCGTGAAGAAATATTTTAAAGACAAATGAAAAAAAGTTTAAAAAATTATAATAATAAAAGAGACAAAAAATGAAATAGAATAATTTATCTAATTTTAAATGAATATAAATAAATATGAACAAGTGTATATTTGAGTTTAGTGTTAAGGAAAGTATTAGAATTAACTCAATTGAATTTTTTATTCTCATGTTCCCAACCTCATTTTTGTCACCTCACCTTCAATCTAATTTTATTTAAGCCATGCACTCTCAACTCAAATATTTATATTGTATATTTTATATAATTTTTTTATTATAATTAAGTCAAAACAACGCCAATTTTTTAATCCTAAATTTATTAAACACTAATATAAACATCAGTTTAAACCTATCAAATTTCAGTTTTATTGATTTTTTTAAATAATAGTATAATATTGAATAGATTAATAATTTAAAAACAATATTTGTTATTATATTTTTTTACTAAATGTATTAAATATAAATAATATTGTATCACTCCATTATTAAAATTAGAGTGTCAAATCTCATACAGATTCTCTTACTTTATTACAAGAAATACTAGAATCTCTTACAAATCCTCTTCATTTATTTAAAAAAGTTAAAATTTTTCATAAATTCTTTTAATTTATTATATAAAATCAAAATTTATTGAATAATAATAAATTAATTATTAATTTATAGAAATCATAATATGTACACATTAATAATAATAATTTTATCTATAATCTTATAATTAATCACAATTAATTCATGAAATTTACAATCTCAGCCACATTGTATCTGATATTAACAATTTTTCATAAAAATAATGATTAATAATGTAACTTATTCCCTCTCACTTAAAAACTCAAATCACACAAAGAATAAGTAATTGCATTGCTATTACATATTTTCAAAAAAACAAATAGACTAAAATTTATTTTTCCACGAATTCAAAAGTGGAAATTCAATATAGAATACTGTAATTAAATATTAATTTATCATTTATCTAATTTCCTTGGAATATATGTGTTAAAAATGGAAAGATGAAGGTCACTGTCATCTTTATTTCCCTCTTTATATGCATACACATGTGCTAGACACAGCTATGGCACACATCTTGCCATTAAAATATTGACATGTCCTTACTATGGATCCACTTAGGTTAAGTTTCTACCTTTTTAGTTTTAATCCCACTTTAGTTGGAGATTCCTTATCCATTCCTTCAATAATCAACACAAACTCTGTAACTTTCCCAGTCATATATTAATATAAAATAATAATAATGCATATATTGTTTAGGTCATTTTCATTCTTAACTTCCTACCCACTATCTATGTATCTCTCTGCCATTTTGTTAATGTGTTTGTTAATATCAATTTACTTTGGAGTTTAGACCCACTTATGTACTTTGGGGATAACCAGGTTGGAAATGGTCACTCCACTGAAGAACAAATATTGGATCTCATGAAATTCCTTGGCTGCATTTGTCTCGTCTAATGAACTCATCATTAAAATATTCAAATTCTATGGCCTGATAAACAACCCAGAAGGCTCCACTGAATAAAGCAAGTTAAAAAATGTTATGTAATCACCAAAATTCTAGTGGGCAATTATGATCTGAAGAACGAGAACCAACGGTCAATCCTAATGGCTTTTGATAGAGTAAGAAGCAAATAGATTAGAAGGACATCAACTGAGTTATTCAGATCGATAAAATACGTTATATATTCTCGGAATATCCAAAATAAGTTGTATGTTTTGTTGTGCACAAGTGAATGGTAATGGTAATGATTACGAGGTTTCAATTCAACGAGAGACATGAGTTTGTGGTTAAGGTAATTTTTCTGTCTCAGATTTTTTTTTAATAATCTTAAAGTTGTTAAAGCTTACACTTCACTTTTGTTGGTGATCAACAAAGTTTGGTATTATTGGACAACGATGAAGTGGTATAATACTGTTGTAGTTTTACATGCCAGAGATAGTCATAAAAACATTTCGATAGATAATGAAATCTGGTATAATTTATACTCACAAAGGGCAATATATAGCAGGTGGCTATGATTTGAATGAAATAAATTCTGCATAAAGTTGACTTGAGCATAACTTGCATTTTATCAGAAAACTTCGAACAGAGAATCCAATTACTGGCTTTGTGTTGTGGAAGTGAAATAGCAGGAAAGGAAAGCTAACTTTAGAGAAAGTGCCTCTTCCATAAATTAATCTTATTTATTGAGTGGCCAAAATAGATCAAGTGTTGGATACTATAGCTACTATGTGATTTAACCTCACTTGTGTGAACTAAAGTGAAGCCACACACACACCCTTTTGGTTTCAGCAAGTAAAGTAGGCGTTATCAAGTTGGTAAGGGTGAAATATATATCCATTGGAGTGTGGAGTGCTTTAATGCGGACACAGATTCCATTTGCTGTGGAAAATCTTCGATTGGTGGAAAAATATTAGAAAGTGAGAAAAAACAAGCACAAGTGCTTACATATCTTATCAGCCAAACCTAATGGGGGTCGAATCATTTTCTGAATAAGTTACTTCACTAATTGACTTAACATCAATAAAGAAAGACAGCAAAAGAAGAAAACTCTGTTTGATAGAAAACTATACGAGCAATTGTTTAGAATCCCATGGTGACTATACAAATTCATATGACGTAACCAGCGGAATCATGGTGGTCCTCGATCCATGCAACACAACTAGACTGTATACAGCACAATGTCACATGTTAAAGTGGAAACTGTTAGATTCATATTCAACTTTTCACTATTTAGATTTTTTTTAAATTAAAAAATAATTGCCTAAAGTAAAAAAAAAAAGTTTATTTACTATTAATATAGAATAAATTAAATTGAAAAGATTTTTAAAATAAAATAAAATAAATATTTAATATATCTCTACTTTCTTTTCTCTATTTAATAAATGAAGACATTTAATATTTGGTTTTTCTAAAATGAGTGACATAAAGTAAGTAATTATAGCATTGATAAAAAAAAATCATTAGTATTCTAGTACATTTCTTATTTATTATACAAGTACACATAATATTGATTATTATTTTTCTGTCCAACCATGTCTGAATAAGCTGCTTCCTTCAAAATAATTGAATCCTATGAAAGTAATTCTAATCAAGTTTTCGCCACGAAATGCTAATTTTGATATATGCGTCTAAGGTTTTAATTAAGGCCCAACAATTAATCCTCTCCTTCCTCGGGCAACAAGATTAAGATTGGAAGATGCAGATTTTGACATGGGCTTAAAGCTTAGAGGCCCAGCAACAACTGGGCCCATGCAGAGTCCTCTCCTTCCTCCGGCAGCAAGATTGGTTTGTACTTAGTTGAATTGAATTGTTTGATTCCGTTGGACGCAGTTACAGTGGAATCCCCAATGGCGGGTTCTTCGATCATGGAGAACCTCTTCCAGCGATCGCTGGAGGATCTCATCAAAGCCATGCGCCTCCAACTCATCGGCGAATCTACCTTCATCTCCAAGGCCACGGAGGAGATCCGCCGCGAGATCAAATCCACCGATCAGCAAACCAAATCCACCGCGCTTCACAAGCTCTCCTATCTCTCTTCCGTGCATGGTGTCGACATGTCCTGGGCGTCCTTTCACGTCGTCGAGGTCATGTCCTCCTCCAAGTTTGCTCACAAGAGGATTGGTTACCACGCGGCTGCCCAATCCTTCAACGACGATACGCCGGTGCTCCTCCTCATCACCAACCAGCTCCGCAAGGACCTCTCCTCCACCAATGAGTTCGAGGTAAGCCTCGCTCTCGATTTGTTGTCGCGAATCGCCACTCTCGACCTCGCTCGCGATTTGACGACCGAGGTTTTCAAATTGCTCGCCACTGCTAGGGTTTTCGTTAGGAAGAAGGCTATCGCGGTCGTTTTGAGGGTTTTCGATAAGTACCCCGACGCGGTTAGGGTATGCTTCAAGCGCTTGGTTGAGAATCTCGAGAGTTCCGATCCTCAGGTTGTGACCGCCGTAATTGGAGTTTTCTGCGAGCTGGCTGCCAAGGATCCTAGGTCGTATCTTCCCTTGGCGCCAGAGTTTTATAGGATTTTGATTGATTCTAAGAACAATTGGGTTTTGATTAAGGTGCTCAAGGTGTTCGCTAAGTTGGCTCCCCTGGAGCATAGATTAGGGAAAAGGATTGTTGAGCCGGTTTGTGATCATATGAGGAGGTCTGGGGCCAAGTCCTTGGTGTTTGAGTGTGTTAGGACTGTGCTTACTGGCCTGAGTGATTATGACTCGGCTGTTCAGCTCGCGGTGGAGAAGGTTAGGGAGTTGGTGGTTGACCAGGATCCCAATCTTAGGTATCTTGGGCTGCAGGCACTTTCGGTTGCTGCACCCAAGCACTTGTGGGCAGTCTTGGAGAATAAAGAGGCGGTGGTAAAGTCGTTGAGTGATGATGATTTGAATATTAAGATTGAGTCTCTGCGATTGTTGATGGCCATGGTATCTGAGAGCCATGTGGCAGATATCTCCAAGGTGCTGCTTAATTATGCGTTGAAGTCTGACCCGGGATTTTGCAATGAGATATTGGATTCCATTTTGAAGACATGTTGTAATAATGTGTATGAGATTGTTGTTGACTTCGATTGGTATGTGTCTCTTCTTGGAGAAATGGCCATGATTCCTAATTGCCAAAATGGGGAAGAGATTGAAAATCAGCTTGTTGACATTGGCATGAGAGTTAAGGATGCTAGAATGGAGCTTGTTCGGGTGGGGCGTGATCTGTTGATTGACCCTGCATTACTGGGTAATGTGCACTTGCATAGGATATTGTGTGCTGCTGCTTGGGTTGCTGGAGAGTATGTTGAGTTTGCAAGCAATCCCTTTGAACTCGTGGATGCACTCCTGCAGCCTCGGACCAGTCTCTTGCCACCATCCATTAGAGCAGTTTATATTAATTCTGTTCTTAAAATTTTAATTTTTTGCCTGGACTGTTACCTTTTGCAAAATGATGGTTCTGGATCTTTGTATTCTGGTAATTTAGATGGGAGACAGTCAGAGTTATTTAGTGTAAAAAATGACACTGAGGCTACTGAATTGGCAACTTGTGGAGGTTCAAATTATGAACAAGATGTTGGTTTTAACCCAAGGAATACAGCTGAACCTTCTGAAGATCTTTCTGTTGAAAATGGTATAGATAGAGCTGCCATGCATGGTAAAACATTTACATCTAACCTATTGGAAAAGAAGAATTCCATGCAGGAATCTATTGTAAGCTTATTGAATCGAATTGAATTAATTTTTGGACCGCTAATAGCAAACCAGGATGTTGAAGTGCTGGAGAGAGCACAAAACATACTTTCCCTTGTCCAGTTGATTAAAGAAGAAATAATTGATAATTCAGGCCAGAGTGTGGACATTATGGAAAAAAAAGATACTCGAGTTTCAGCTATTATCAATTCAATGCGTGATGCTTTTACTACTGAACTTGGTCCAGTCTCAATAAGTGCACAGGGAAGAGTTGCTGTGCCGGATGGACTAGTTCTGAAAGACAATCTTGATGACTTACAAGAAATATGTGGTGATACTGAACTACCTTCAAGTTCGTTTGGCACAGGAGGCCCTCACCTTACCACTAATTCGGATGCTTCTTCGTCTAATCTTCTGAACAATGAAGAGTCAGGGCCATTGAATGAATGCACATCCTTAATTGAACACCGTAAGCGGCATGGGTTATATTATCTTCCTACAGAGAAGAGTGAGATTGTACCAGATGAGTATCCTCGTGCAAATGATCCAAAGTCAAACAGTAATGTAAATGATGAAGCCGCCGAACTGGTCAAGCTGACAGAGCAATCACTTCTTCTGAAGAAAAGGACTAACCAAACGAAGCCCAGGCCAGTAGTGGTGAAATTGGATGATGGAGATATCGCACCAATTTCAGTCAAAAGGCCAGAGCCAAGGGATGATTCTCTTTCTGGTGCCATAAAAGATGTTCTTCTGGGAAATGAAACTGGACCAAGTGTGTCTCGAAGTTATCCTTCTGATAAGTCATCAAGGAAGCAGACAGAGAAAAAGAAACTAAGCACGAATGGTCGATCTGAAATGAAGGAAAATGAAGTTGATGCAGAAAAGCCTGACCCTGAAAGTCCAAATTCGAGCAGCAAAAATCATGGTCATAGTAAACACAGAAGACACAGAGTAAAAGAAAAGTCTGTTGAGGGTGAAGAGCATGATCAGAGGGGAAAGAAAAAGAGTGGCCACCACCATGGTAGGAGAAAAACTCATCAAAGAGCAAAGTCGCCCTTAAATGTGGTTTCCCAAACCCCTGTCATTCCAGATTTTCTTTTGTAGCATTTAAGGATTGGTTTGATTTTGCATCACCTGTCTTTATTGACTGAGGCTGTTTACATATTGTATTCTTTGTGCAGAGAGTTCTTAAAGTTAGTTCTGTAGATTTATACTTGTTTTGGTCATTTCTTATGATTTCTTAATACTATATTCCTTCCTTGTTGTCCTGTTTTTGGCCATATTTGTCACATAATGAACATGTTCAAGAAGTAAATTTTAAAGTTGGATGTTGTTTAGCTGCCCTTTTCTAGATACATGAAGTAACTATTGTTGAATCTTTTGCCATTTAATTATAGCCTAGCTTGTAGAAGTTTTTATACTCAGCATAAACTGCTTGAGAAAACTGGTGGACAAGTGCTTCAATTGACTATTTTGTAATATTAAGATCAAAATGCTAATTTAGAAACGTTCATGCTCTGTTTGGAAATGTATTTTAGAAACTTCATATGATATTATGATTATTATAAATATTAGAAACGATCATGCTGTGTTTGTATAGAATATTTTGGGGGAGAAATGTAATTAAAGAGGATTTAAAATCCTTTCTATCATAAACACTCTGTATGGGTATTTTAGCAATAAAATAAATGAACTTCTCAATTATTCAAAATTCTGCCAAAATAAGTGGAATTCTAAAAAACTTGCTTGCATTTGTTGCCACCCTAATTTGAACTGCCTGCATCTCAATTTCTCACATGGCTTCGGTTTTCATTATCTTCCCAATCTAATGGTTTGGCAAACTCTAGCTAAGTAATTGAGGTACTCATGAAATCTGTTATAGGTTTTCAAATTCTACGATTTTGTTATTTTCTATTATAGGACTCATCTTGATATTTTGATTATTTCTGTTGTACAAATTTGTGGCTGGCATGTCCTACATAGTTGCTGGGTAGAGGGAAGCATCAAGTTAAGTTCTCTTATCTCTTTTGGTATGTTATTATGAAATGTACGGTATCCTTTGTGTATTTTTTATTTAGCAGTAGTACTGAAAATGGTTAGAGCCTATGGTTGTAGTTTGACTGTTTATCCTTCTTTTGGTTATTTATGATCAGCTAGGAGTCCTACTTATGTTTTGCACATTAAATAAGTACAGAAATATTAGGTGGAAAGTAGAGCTTAGTTGAATACAAATTGAGAAGAGGAGACTTGAGAAGGATAGTGGTTTTAGTTGGAAAATTATGGATGAGGACTGTATATGGAAGCTGTGTAGATACTTGGAAGCTATATATAAAATGGCATGGATGAAGCAATTCTCACAGTGCCTTCCTTTCATATTATTTAGCTTTCATGTAATTCTATGTATTATTGTATGAAGCTCAAGTTCATTGCCATTTGACAGATATCTCTGATAGTCTCTTCTCCGTTGGTATTATATATTTTTGCTTTTATAATTTTAAGTGCAATAAATGAACCTTTACATCTCCTGGTTAATCATAGGTGAAAATATTAATATTCATTGATAAAAAGAGAAAATATTTTTTATTAATTTATTTTTTTAGTTTTTAAAAGTTAAAAAACAAAAACAGTTTTTTAAAAAACTATTTTAACAATATAATTATCAAACGCGTTTTTTAATTTTTAAAAAGTAAAAAGTAAAAAGTAAAAAATGTCTCTAAAAACAAGAAACAAAGATTATTTGGCTGAGTTATTGCAGTTCACTACGACCTCAAGATGAACTTTTGAGGCTTAGAAAACCAACACCCTAAGATGTATTGACTAAGTAGATATGACACTTTTTTGGATGGCATTGACAAGCTGTTATGGCCAGGCTGTAAAATCCATCCGCCACAATCTCCACATTTCACCACTGCTTTCTTCTTTCCTTTTAAACAATCACAGTCAAATTTCTCAACTTAAAAAGACTTAACAAATTTTATCATATTTGTAGCTAATGTTGAGGGATTACAGTCATAAATCATGTCTACCCAAGATTAAACATTTGTGTGGGAGATATCAGTCTTCCCTACCCTGTAGTTGCCCCATGTTATGAAATAACCAAATTGTTGAGTGCTTGTTATGAAACCCATGTTATTCTCAAGCCTGTGTCAAGGAAGTAACATACATGTCTTGAGTATGGAAAATATGAAAAGAGTAAAAATTGCTGAATGATGATGAATGCTGCAGTATGTACCAATAATGCTGAATAATGATGTAACAAATTATCACTTGCTGTCAAATGCAGCACATCTATATGGTGAATTCAGATTAATTACAGTAATATATTATGTTACAATGATCCAGACAACTTATTTTCTTGTGAGGCATATTTGCATAGTACTGTAATAAATATGGAATGTGTATGGTTTTTCGATTCTTGCATATAGTAAAGGCAACTATGTCACTTATTTAAGTTAAAGCAAGCTATGTTTGTTTTATGGATTGCACACATTCCAAGTGAGTTGAATAGACAAGCATGTGAGAGCATGAATTGAAATCAATATCCATGTGAGTTCTTTTAATGGATATCCAGCGTATTTGGTGCTGTTAATCTACATCCTACTAGGAATGAAGTTATAATTTGTGTTGTGGTAATTTATGTTCATCTTTTTCAATTGTCAGAATTTGATTTCTGAAAAATTTGTCTATGTATATTTGTGCCATATATAGGATGATAATACGGCATGGTTAACCGTTATAGCTGTCCCATATTTATTTGAAAAGACAATAATCCTCTTGTTAGTTTATGAAACTAGTGATCCAAAAGCATATTTTGAAGTGTTTCACATAAAAAAAAATGGATAAATGAATCTGAAATATATAATATTCTAAAATTTTGAATTGTGAAATTCAGAATATGATAAAATTATTTTATGCAAAAATTTAAATAATTTTTCAAAATTACTTAATTTGAATGTCATAAATTTGATTTAGAATACATTTGTCTTATCAATTAGTTTGAATATTTGGGTCGAATATTCAAATAATGTGAATTATTTTTATATTTAATATTTTATAATTAAAAGTGAAAAAATATATTCTACATCTCTATCAAAGTTTGCAGATAATATCAAGTGAGACTAGTTTAATTATTTTTCAAGAGAGTACTAACATTATATTTTACCTCTACGATAATGATTTAATTCAACATTCTTCCACCTTTTTTTTCTTTTTAAGGTAATATTAAACATTTTTTTATATTTTTAAGATATTAAATGTACTTAGCTTCTACTTAATATCTTATTTTCTATTAAATGTATATTATTGGCTAAAAGTTTTTTAAAAGTTACAATATTAGAAGGGAAATTCATTAAATAAAAAAAGTGAAATTTATATAATTTTATAATTCATAATGATTTTTTCTTTATATATATATATATATATATATATATATATATATTACATTTAAAAAATATGTTGTTAATTTTTTCTTTTATACTTAGGAATTACTTATTTTATCTTATGGTGTTTGATATTTAAAACTTTGACAGAAAACATAAAAAGTAAAATTAATATTTTAGGTTTGATAAAATTATTAATTTCTTAATAAATTCATTATCTTTTACATTAATAATATTTTCAGTAAAAATTTTAGCTAAGCTGATTGAACAAGGTAGGTACATTATTCTAAATTCCTCCAAGTCTATTCAATTTTTATACATAAAAAAAACTCTTAATCTATATTTAAAATTTTTTAAGTCCACAATATTAATAAGAAAATAATTTAATATTAAAAAAAAAAACCAAATATTTTCAGTCAAACGAAATGGCTAATAATTTTGTTTAGGAATGTTGACCAGCACAGTCAAATGCAGAATATTGATGATTGATTAGAATAATCAATTTAAGTGTGTCTTCACAACACCTATTTTCTGGTTGCTCATCAATACAATCATGAAGCCTAAGCAGCATGAAGGGTCCCTTGGTGCTGCAAAATTCTTCATTACTCAATCAACCTTGTTCAACATATTCTCTCATGTTCTGGCATTTGCTTCTGGTTTGCTCATTGGAATCACCATCATCACTTTCTCTCTCAAAAACTTGTCCCTCAACTTTCAATTCCATCAACTTTTCCTTCCATCTTTGTCTCCTCCTCCATTTTCTTCTCCCATCTCAACTTTACTTAACCAGACCAATATCACCATCTTCACCCCAAATGAGTTAAGGGGTTTCTCGAAGCCAACCAAAGCTATGCCTGACATGACAGAGGAAGAGTTGCTGTGGAGAGCTTCCATGGTTCCTAGGATTAAGGAATCGCCTTACAAACAGGCCCCAAAGGTTGCATTTATGTTTTTGACAAAAGGGCCTGTCCTTTTGCGTCCATTGTGGGAGAGATTCTTCAAAGGAAATGAAGGATTCTATTCTATCTATGTCCATTCCCATCCTTCTTTCAATGACACAGTCCCTCAAAGTTCAGTGTTTCATGGCCGCAGAATCCCAAGCAAGGTCAGTGTGTCCTAATTCTTCCTAGTTAATCAATCAACCTCTTTGCAATTGGCTATGTTGCCTTTTTCTGTGTTCTGTCTTTTTCTTTTCATGTCATCAGCAAATCTGGGAAAATTTTTCTTTTTCTTTTGCTTGACCAAAAAGTTCCAGAATTACAATTGACTTGTGTTTTCTGTCAACTTACTCAAAGTGCAAGATTTATAATTGACTGCATCCCAAAACTAAGATTTTTTTCCCCCAGTTTTTGGATTTAGTGCCATATTTTCCAATGACTGTAAACTTTTGGTATTCCGTGGCTTTAATTAGACGGCATAACAAAACAGTTTGATTGATTCAAACACGAGTTGCGCCTCAGTAAACGCCATATTTAACGGTTTTCTCACTAGCATGTGTTGTTTGTTTTTCAAGTCTTCAAGAGAAAAAACACTGCTAAGATGTTTACTGGTTCTTAGAACACACATCTTCAATCAAAATTTCTCTCCTACACTACTTCATCAAAAAAACCTTTCATTAAAAAACTGTTCTTAATGTAAAACGTTTTTAACTAATTGGATTAGAAAAGTTTTGTGTAACATACATAAGAGAAGGAATTAGTTTTTGTTAAACCAGAAAAGTAGTAACTGTAATCTGTGTGGTGTGTTGAATGACCACAGAGACTTGTTCTCTTTGCTACACATCTTGATGATATATATTATTGGCAGACAACTAATTCTGAACAGAAGTTCTTTTAAAGCTATTATCATTCTATAATATATATAATAAAATGAGTTATATTAAATTTTGTTGGAACTCATAGAAAAATCTTACTTGGGTAATGCCTGTCTGCATGAACCTGAACAGTGATTTTAATGGCTTTATAAATTATTAATTAGTATGTGAGAATTTCTTCCAATTAGAGATGAACACATTATTATGAGTTTTATGAAACTTGTTATACCTTAATTTAAAAGTCATTCATGGTTAGCACTAAACGTACCAGCTAAGACCATAAAAATGCATTCCCTTTACTTATAAATAATGACTTTTGAAATCATCTATTCAGAATGAGAAAATCTTATGATATTCCCAGTGAAGTTATTGGTCAACTGGTCAACCATTTGTATTTTTTGGGAATTTCAGTTCCCATTTTCCCCAATTTTGATGACTATTATTACTTCCTTCATTTCATTTTAAGTTTTTCATAATTTTCTAAATAATTGTCATTTATTTCTTTCAATACAATAATAATCATAATATTAAATACTCACACTAACCAATTACCTGTGTGAGAGAATATATCTAAAAAATCATTGGTACATTTGCAAAATACATACATAAAAAAAATTAATTATTTGGTAAAAATGTTAATTTAGTATTTATTTAATGTGTGTATAATTTATTGCAAAATGTGGTAATATAGTAATCCTCGAATATGTAAAATGTAAAATGTGAAGTTTTTTTATTCCCTGCTCTTGTTGGTTGTCCTCAAAGTTCAGTACTTTTATTTGATTCCACTCCTTTTGCACCTCTTGCAAAATTCTATTCTTCTCCTTTTGCAAACTTTTCATAATTCCTTTCTTCATACTGTCTCTCATATGCAACAGATAATCTGAATAACCAGCACATAAAATTTATTCAATTTAGGATTGTCTTCGATCGGTGTATTGATGCACTTATCTATTTTAAAAATAAATAAATCTATTTTAGTTCATCGAATCTAGTTTTTTTATTTAGCAGGTCAGAAATGGGACGAATTGATTTATTGATTTTTTTATTTGTTTAAATTTATATATTAAAATTAAAATAAAAAATTATAATTTAAAAAATCTTACATTTTATAACATATTATTGAAATATATAAACATGTTTTAATATTATAATATTATAATTAGATATTTATAATATATTTTTAATTTATTTAATAAAAATATTAATTAATAAATAAAAACTTTAAAAAATATTAATATAATTATATATAATTATATATATATATATATATATATATATATATATATATATATATATATATTTACAAATGGTTCACTGCCCAGTCAAAACTATGATGGGTGAACTCGTTTTCTGGGTGTACTTTGAATGAATTTATTGTAATTAAATTTACAATATTGTTAAACATCAATAATTAATTCTGTAGAGAAGAATTACGCATGCAAATATTTATCTAAAAGTACAAGATAGTTGTCATCTAATTTGTAAAATAGAAGTTGAATCAAAGCATGAGGTGAGAGGTGAGAATTGTGAATTTGATTTGTTCTTGTAAGATGATGATGATGATGATGATGCATGCAGGAGGTAAGGTGGGGTGAGTTCAACATTGTAGGGGCAGAGAGGCGTCTACTGGCGAATGCACTGCTAGACTTCTCCAACCAACGTTTTGTTCTTCTCTCAGAATCATGCATTCCTTTGTTCAACTTCTCAACCATATACACCTACCTCATCAACTCAACCGAGACCTTTGTGGAAGCCTATGACTTGCCAGGTGCAGTGGGGAGGGGAAGGTACAGCCCCAAGATGAGGCCACTGGTTAGGCTTTCTCAGTGGAGAAAAGGGTCCCAATGGTTCCAAATAGACCGTGCCCTTGCCACTGAGATAGTATCTGACCAGCAATACTTCCCCTTGTTCAACAAACATTGCAGGAATGGATGTTATGGTGATGAACACTACTTGCCAACTTTTGTTGGTATCAAGTTTTGGCGGAGTAACTCCAACAGAACTTTGACATGGGTTGATTGGTCCAAGGGTGGACCCCATCCAGCAAGGTTTATGAGAAGGGATGTAACCGTGGATTTTCTCAAGAGGCTCAGGGATGGAAGCACATGCCACTACAATGGGAAGACCACCAATATTTGCTACCTGTTTGCAAGAAAGTTCATGCCTCATGCTTTAGATAGATTGCTGAGGTTTGCTCCACAGATAATGCACTTCAATTGACCTCCTTTCATTTCTGTTTTCTAATGCTTTCTTTCAATCAGTTTTACTGATCACGGTTTGAGTTGAGTTCTACTACATCAGTGTTTAAACAAAAGAATCCATTGTATACTATGAACCATACATTTTTATATAGTAAATCTCTTGTAAAAGACATTACACAAACATTATATAAAACAGATTTGTCTTAATGATTTTGTTTTTTGTGTTCAAATAAAACTCTCCACTTCTCTGCACAATCTTATAAAATAAAATTTATATGTGATATTCAGTTTCTGATATATTTAGTCTATTTCATTAATATGTCCCTCTTTCGTGCCAACAGTGTTAGTGAAGACCATCCTCACCATATAAAATCATCTATAGAAAAATATAATAATATGTTGTATGATTTTTTATTTTATTTTTTTGAAGTTGAATGAATGAGAGGAACTAGTAAACATTTGTTAGTTATTATACCAAACAGGAATAGAAAAGTATTTACAAAGTACAGTGACAGTACCCAGAAACCTCTCCACAATTTCACGTCAGCTTCCTTTTTATGTAAAACATGGAAAATATTGATTTTCACCCTACTTTAATATATAATATATATATATATATATATATATATATATATATATATATATATATATATATATATATATATATATATATATGAATCAGAAAATACAAAAATAAATGGTTTTTTAGTGCATGGATAATTTTTGTTTTTAAAATTTAATTTTAAAGAATTACGAATTTAACTAATGACACTTTAAAATAAAAGAACAAACACTATTTTAATTTTTTTTTAATCATACTATCACTAATATCTATTATGGTAGCAATAGTCATAATCATTGTACATATCTCGGGTTAATAAGATGGATCTCTGAAATTGTATCAAAGCCTAATCATTTTTCGGAATGGGTATGACAATAAGAAATATACGGAGAAAGCGAGTAGGAGAAATTTTTAAAAATAAATAACCAAAATACTACAAGCCGAATTCATTTCTTGTTAAACTTCATCATTTCTCTTTCAAAAAATATTTCAAAAACTTTTTCCTATAAGATAGAAAACCTAGGTTGTGGCCTGTAAGCAATGACTATAGGTAATGATCAGAAGGTTTGTAGTGATATAGAGACGAGTTCTGAAAAGATAAATAGACCATACTCTAAAAAGAATAATAAATTGGAGATGAAGTGAACATAAAATATAAGAGATTTTTATTTATGTTATTTAATTTTCTTTATTATATTATTATAATTGATAAAAGCATATTTTATATTTTAATAAAAAATAATAATAATTTTTATATTATTTTTAAAATTATTAATTAGTTTATTAATATAATATTACTATTAATACTAAAATAATATAATTATAATTATTAATATTATTATTATCTTATTATCAATATTATTTTTATTTTATTATTAATAATAGAATAATATTAATAATACTAATATAAGTATAATTATATAAAATAAAATAATATTAATAATAAGATAATTATAATTCTATTAATTTTTATTAATGTTATTATTATATTTAATATTATTAATAATATAACATTAATAAAAAAATATTGATAAATTTATGAATTTTATATCATTTAAATGTAAAATTAAAATAATTTATATATAATTTTTTTACTTTTAATTTATTTTTTTCAAAATAAAATTATGACGTGTTAAAGTTTTAAAAATAAACCCCAATACCTACTAGCAGATACAAGAAGAAAACATTCTTATTTATTTTGTTATTAATGATTATAATAATATAATAATTATAATATAAAAAAAAACTAAAAATCGTACTAATGCGATTATATATGAAAATTGTCTTCTATGACACGATTTCTTTCTTTTAAAAAAAAATTGAAAATTAAAATCGTGAAAGACGACATTTTTTTCCTTTTCTTTTTGTATTCAAATCCATAATTTGTTTTTAGATTAATTTATTTTGGTAATCTAATTTTTTAAAATTTACTATTTGCCTAAATAAACAGAGTTAATTTTATTCATCAAGCGCGATAATAATAAAATAAAAAAAACTTTTGTACCTAACTTCTGTGATCACCTGTGCCGTTCTCGGCGAAACTGTTTTGTGGTGATGTCCAATGACCTTAAACAAATGAAGGCCGTGTTTGTCATCGCATAATGATTGGTGAGATATTGTGACTTGAATTTTGAAAATCCTCTTCATTGCTCAAAATCTATTACGGGTAGTATAATGCATAATACTCTCCTTTTAAGAATTCTCACGTTAGTATTTACATTTGAAATTGATTATTATTTAACTAAATCATTGTGGATTGTATTATAATTTATTATATTATATATCTTTAATTGACATAAAATTTCATCCAGATAAAAAAGATTATTACGTATGTCTCATTGTTATACTAGACTTAACACATAGAATCTAATATTTTTTTTATAAATATTAAATTCAATTATACAAAATTAACTTACTAAAATAACAATTATTATATGGCATTTGGATGATGGAAATAGGAAGGAGCTTCCAAACTTCCCATTGGAGACAATATTGACGTGAAAGTGGAACAACATAATTGGAAAAGTGATTTACATAATGTATTATAATTAAATGAATTTGGGTCCTACTTGTTAACCGAGTAGAATATGCAATTTATTATTGGGGTCTACTTCCACAACCTACTAGAATATGCACCCATTCAATTCTCTTCCTCATAATTTATAAGAAAAAGTTATTTAGTCTAAGATAAGTTATAAATAAAGTATTAATTATATGGCTGATTTAAATCTTAATATTAACATTAAATGATTATGTTCTGAATCATAAATAGTCAAATTAAAACAAGTTATTTAGTTTATATTCACACTCATTTTTTATTTTATTAAGACATTTTTAAAAAATAAAATCATAATAAAGGAAAACTTTAATAATATTTTTGACATGAGCACCAAGGAAAATAATTTCTCAATTAAGACTAAGAAATAGAGTAGAAAGTGACTATTTTCAGAGTCCCAGAATTAAGTCAATATTTTGTTTTTTGTTTTTTGTTTTTAAATCCTGATCTATCCACTATAATAACATTATTAAAATCCATAACTACATCTTAAATTTAAAAATTTTTATTCATTAAAATTTTATCTTTAAGACGTCTAATTGAATTAATAGATCGAGCCATAACATCAATGGATGAAAAGGTTTCTTAATATTTATATCAATTTTATAAGTGATGTAAAATATCTAGAATAATTAATATAATTTGATTTTCTGATAAAAGTTTCAATCTTTCCGCTCCTTATTCTATATATAAGTCTTTTTAACTGCTGTAACATAAATTTTTTCAAACACGAACTGTTCTTAAGGAACACAGAAACGCATTAATTTGATTTCGTGATTATATTTTTCTTTGAAGAGTTATGTTTAGTTTATTATTATATAAAATTAAAACATTCGATAATATGCTGCTGAATCATATAATACAAGATATATATATATATATGCATGACTAATGACCTTGAATTTGTAGTTATATTCTAACACTTGGACTTTGAAAACAATGTTTTAAGATATTAAAAAAAAGCTGATACGTATCATCATTTGGTGCTATACACAAGTTATTACAAGTCTAGGAAGCTTTCGATCCTTCCTAGAAACGCGTAATTTGACCAAACTATGTTATTAGATCACAAAATGTTACAAGAACAAACCAATAGTTTACATCAAATTTACTAGATTCATGAGTGACATAAACAATAATATAAAATATACCCTAGGTTCAATTTCTATACACTATCGTCATAAAATAATTTACAAGGTTATTCAGGTTGGGATCATAAAATTTACTTGTATTTTGATCCTCCATATTAGCCTTTTCACATGTGCAAATGAGTTTTGAGATTTTGTAATTAATTATAGGATTTTATTTTAGGGACTAAACTTTCATAATTAAGATTTGTTTAAGATACTAAAATCGTATAATTGTAATAGTTGGAAAAATAAAAGTAAAACTAAGTCAAATCATAATTGGTGTTCATTTTAAGATAACCTAGATCAAAGAAACATTATAAATATGTTTTTTTTTTATGAGATGAAACTAATTGAAAAAACATTAAAATATGGGACCTTCGTCTTGTCTCATGATTTTTTTTCTCATTTTATATTTTTCAATATATTATAATTATGGAGAAGAGTGTGTTGAAAAGAATATGTTAAAGAATATATTATAAGTCAATCTACCTAATCCAAGAAACGAAATTAAAAGTGAATGTAAAAATTCTTTACATTGTTACGAATTACTCAAAATTGACTTGCAAGATTAAACTAATTAAGTTTTTTTTTTTTTTTTCAGCTTCAATTCTTGCTTGCAAATATAGTCAAATTAAACTGAAAAAAAAAACCTGCGTAAGTTTTCGGTAAAAAACACTGTGTTGATGCTGAAATTACAAAAGACAGTTGTGCGTGTAGATCAGAAAATTACATGCATGACCAAATTTTATTTGTCTGTCTATTCAAACTACGACGGATATTTAGTGATATACGAATTGGTTCAACACTTTTTGTTAAAACTTTGTTCCCAAGAAAATATTATTGGTTGAATAATTCAAGTTGAATTGATGGTTTGTTAAATCACTTAATATGTGCCCCTACAACAAGCGTGGCTTAGAAAATTTCTGGGTCCTACCTTGGGTTTTGGTTTGGTGTGTAAAAGTGTGAACCTTTTCTAACCGCGGTGAGAACGATAATAAGGATTTGGAGGGTTGACTTTGGAGGGTGTTGACGTCCAAGTCTTTACATCATATGATACGCTTTCTCGGTTATAACATCCTAATTGCTTCGATGCTTCCTCCGACATTCCAAGAACCTCCTTTCACCCTTTTTCTACTTTTATCTCATAATATAAATTAAAGTCACAATCTTTCATTTCTGGTATAAAAGGCAAATCTCCTTCTCCTGCTCCTCATTATAATCTACCTACAGTCTGCAACCTTAGTTACACCAACTCCTTAATTTCATCCTCTTTCATTCCCTGATCGTCCCCTAAGATCTCTTCACACGAAAAATGGCGGCGAAACGGTTTTTGGATGATTCTGATCAAGATACCAATAAGCCTGGTGATAAACGGATGAGGCCTACCAGACCTTCTTTTGCTTCGTATGTTTGTTTAACCAACGGAATGGCTTCATCAGTTATTTTTATCTTGTTCTAAAACTTCTTTCCTATGTATCTTTGTAGCTTCAACTAAACCAATCTTCTTGACAGGGTAATAGGAGAAGTTGTCATGGTGAAAAACTTGCAGAATCTTTTCTCAGGCTTGGAACCCTTGCTTAGAAGAGTGGTAAGTGATCAATACCCTATGGCATAAAAGTCAAACAGACGTTATTTTGATACTATGACTAGCACATCAACGTTATAACAATGAGTTCTCTAATTAGAAAGTTTTACTTCGTTAATTCATGTAATAAAGTTTCCATTAAATAATAGTTAATATAAAAAAACGCTATGTATGTATATAACTGTGCCTAAGTTTGGTTCATTTTTGTCAGGTGAACGAAGAGGTGGAGCGAGTGATGAGGCATTGCGTTCCGCGTTCGATAACCAGGTCCCCTTCGTTGAGGATCCAAGCATTGGAGCAACCAACAAGCTATGAACTCATGTTCAACAAGAAGCTATTGGTCCCTATCTTCACAGGAAGCAGAATAGTAGACATAGATGGGAACCCCATCCATGTTGTTCTTTGTGACAAAAGCGGTGGTCAAATGGTTCCCACGAGTCTCCCCCACCCCATCAAGCTAGAAATCGTGGTGCTTGATGGAGATTTTCCTCCCAATAGTGATAACAGTGAGTCATGGACGAGTGAGGAATTCAACAGACACATAGTGAAGGAGAGAACAGGAAAGAGGCCGTTGCTCACAGGAGAATTGAATCTGACCATGAGGGATGGGATTGCACCAATTGAAGAAATTGAATTCACTGATAACTCCAGTTGGATTAGAAGCAGGAAGTTCAGAGTTGCTGTTAGAGTTGCTCCTGGGAGTAATCAAACTATTAGAATTCGTGAAGGCATGACCGAATCATTTATTGTTAAGGATCACCGTGGTGAATGTGAGTATTTTCTCTCCTTTTCTAACTTTATGTTTGATAGCTTATGCTTATTTATCATTCAATATGCACTGCTATTGCTAATAACTTCTGTTTAAAAGTGTAGTGTCCTTTTGTTTGATTTTCTTTTGTATAAATCTTATCATAATTTTTTTTCTTCTCTTTTCATCTTTCATATCTTTTAACATTTTGGCACAAACATCTTATAAAAATAAATAATTTCTTTTGTGGATATGTTATAACTAACCATCAGAAAGGTTTTCTGCAAGAAAAGTATCATGTCAACTTATTCAGTCTAATATAGTTGCGTCAGTAAATCATTGCAGAATATACATTTAATATAATATTATCAATTAGTTCCACTTATTGTTGTTTCAATTTGATTGATCCAAGTTGCATGTCATGAGAATCCTGGAAGAAAGAGGAGGCGAAGAAAAAATGGTTGGTGGGGGATTAATAAGTCCAAGTGGGGAGTTATACTGAATTATACAAAGAAAAATGATGATCATAGTTTTCAATGAGTTTGTTTCTGGAATCTTTTATACTAAGTAGAATTTATTTATTTATTTTTTCTTGTGGATACAAAATTAAAATTAAAACAGTGAAAATTTCTTACATGTTTAAGCACCTGTTTAGTTTTTACAGCTTTTGGACCTTCTGTAAATAAGTTTCAAAAGCTGTTATAAATGTATGTAAGATTGGAACAGTCCAAAATTACATAAACCTTGGTGTAAAAGTTAATCTATCATTATATATTAAAATTGTTAGGAGATTGTGACTTCAAATTTATTAACTAATATCAACATCGTACTTTACAGCAATATAAAAGTATATTGGCCACACATCCTACAAGATAGAGGGCATTTCATTTTCACCCTTTCCAGCAAGCAACAGTTCAATACTGATCCATTTTAATTTGTTTGTTTTCTTTTCTTTATTTGTGATGTCTGGAAAGTGATTGGTGGTCAAACATTTGCAATTGTGAGGGCTTAAAATAGTTACTCAACCATGAACCATGGTCCCACCAATGTATCAAATTAATAATACATTGACACATAGTGTGATTTTGAGAAAACCCTCATAAAAATTTCATCTATTGACATAATGACGCGGTTTTGGCAATCTTAGGGTCTCAGGTCAATGGTTTCAAAACCAAAGTCAAGAACGTGTTAAATGGTCATTTAAAAAACATGTGACGAATTCATTTACCGTAATTCTTTTATGAATCATTACATCAAAAACTTGGTGGTGTGTTTGAAGGTTTATTATTCATATGTTGATGTTTTTGTTGTTGTCCTATTATTGAAGTGTACAAGAAACATCACCCACCTATGCTCCACGACGAAGTGTGGCGCCTAGAGAAGATAGGGAAAGACGGAGCTTTCCACAAAAAGTTGTCCAGAGAGGGAATAAAGAGTGTGCAAGACTTTCTTAAGTTATCTGTTGTTGATACTCAGAAGCTCAGAAAGGTACATATCTTAATCACTCAATTCCTTGTATTGAGTAACTAAAAAACAGAAAAGTGGAAACAGAGGTATAATAAACTAAGGGTAAAAATTGGGGGAACAAAAATTAAGATTGATAGTCAGTATTTTCTTATGACAGAACAAAGTCTTTAATAGTATGTAATTTTTGCAACCAGATTCTGGGAGTTGGGATGTCGGAGAGAATGTGGGATGCGACAATCAAGCATGCAAAGACTTGTGAGAAGGGCAACAAGTACTATGTCTACCGTGGGCTTAATTTTACCATCTTTCTGAATTCCATATGTCAGTTGGTTAGAGCTGATATCAATGGCCAAAGTTTTCCGGGCAGAGAGCTAAGCAACATGACAAGGGTAAGTAACTTGATCCTCAAACCTATTACCTTGTTCCCTGACTTTAGATTATTCAATTTTACTAGGTGTTCATTCTGATTCTATATAATTTATTTCAATGCAGAGCTATGTGGAAAAATTGGTGAGAGAAGCATATGCTAGATGGAATGAATTGGAGGAAATTGATGGGGCTTTGTTAACCCAAGGTATAATATTTGTTCTATTTAATCAATGTGTTCTATAATTTATTCACCTATGCAGATTTACTTTACAATCACAAATCCTTTCCCTGAAATTCACCGTGACATATTGCATTCAGTGGCAGTAACTAACGTTGTGAACCCAACTCTATGACAGGTGAAACCATGGAACAATTTCCAAACAATCATCAAGCATCAGATATAGCATATGATCAGCAAGACTACTTTGATGATAAATCTACAGAAGGTGGCAACTATGTGCCAACTCATAATGCACAAATTGGTTGCAGCGAGTGGGGAGTGAATACAACATTTGTGAATGGCATGCTTTACAGCTTCTCAGATTCACAATCTGACAGTGACATATCGCCCTCAGTTGATGGTGCCACAAGGTGGAACTAGGGAAGATTGTAGTACTTGACTTTCAGCTGTAAATAAGAGTTAACAGTTGAAGAATCAAATTAGGTTTAGTGATTTAGTGTCAAGTGTTGGCCAATTACATAAACTATGTTCAGCCTGTCTTGGCTTATATTAGGTTAACTTTCTTTTTCTCTGTTTCTGGTTAGGTGTAAGTGAAATTGTAAGGTCCATTTCAAGGATCAATGCAGACCTGATTCTAGTGCAAAAAATGCAACCGGCCTTCCTGGGCCAGTGTAGCTATGTTTTACCATAATTTCAGCAATCACAAAAAAAATTATGTTTTATGCATGGTTAGAAATGATCCAATTCTTTAGTTGTAATGGTTGGGTAATCCATAGGTCATTATAAGTCTTACATTGAGGAAAAATGGAAATATTAAGTAATATATAAAGAAAAAAATGATTCATAATTTAATGTCTTAAGTTCTTATATTGAAGGTAGTGTTAATCCTTTATATGAGTTTAGCTAATGTTTCATTAGTATTATTTCTCCCTGTAAATTTCCTTACACATAATTCAGTGTTTATATTGACTAAAAATGAAAATATTAAACAAGATAGGACTCATAACCTAATGTTTTAAAATTTTGAATTGAAATTAATGTCAATTTCTTATGAATTAAACTTATGTTTTATTGGTATTGTTTTCCGGCGAATCTGTAAAGACCTAGAGTACTTTCATCAACTCTTTATCCAATCCCAACAAAGGAAAATTGTTCCAAATAAGTTACTGTTTATTTAGCCTGATTGAAATATGGTTGAAGGGAGTGACTGAGTTGTTAAGAGGCTCTTACAGATAAAAAACAAAAGGTCCACATATTAATAGTAAATTTATCAAAAAACAATATTCCTCAATTTATCCAATTGATTAAAGAATATAATAAAACAAAAAATGAATAATAAAAAACAAGTGGTTAATGCAATTCTAATCCTAACAAAAGCATAAGAGTACAAGATGTTCAAATTTCCTTCCTAAAACTAAACCTGTCCCACACAATCCCACAACGAAGAAAGAAATTGCTACAAGTGAATTTGACACATCATCAACACATTTTAGAAGCATACCTTAACGTTGAAACCGTGTGCACAAAATCAAAGTCACTGTTTGATAATTTGTACATCAGTACAGTCATACATTTTTATTTCATTGAATGTGAATGCGAACATTAGAACGTGAGATATGGGAAACGCATGAACAATTCCTCCTCCTCCTTGACGATTTGCTTCTCATATATTGACTTATATATGTTGTTTTGTTCACGAAATTTCAAAACTTTGCTGCCTCCAAGAAACTTCCTTCCTACCTCAAACATTGGAAATTCTGATTAGTCTTCACATAAATGTTAACGCTCACCCTCTTCTTCCTAATACCGAATAGGTTATGTTATTATATCGCCAACAACCAAAACAGTTGGTCCTCATGTTCATCAAAATTGCATTTGTTTGCTTTGTTTCTGCCTTGTTTCTCTTCTTCATCAACACCTCTGCCACCCACAACACATCATCCTTACCAACTTGTCCTACTCAACACTGCACACATGGAGCTAACATCAGCTACCCTTTTTGGCTTTCCCCAGGTTCCCCTCCAGACCAACTTTGCGGTTACCACGATCTTGGCCTTGTTTGTGATCACGGTTACGCCACTTTTTCTCTACCCACAGGATTATACTATTTCGTAAAAGATATAGACTATGAGAACCATAGGCTTCAGCTGGTGGATTTTGACACTTTAAACAAAACTTGTCCAAGGGCACTTCACAGTGTTCCCTTGGGCAACCTACCACTTACTCACTCTCCCTTCAACTTAAACCTTAGCTTTTACTACAACTGCACTAACTACCCTTCTGGTGTTCCTTCTATCGAGTGTCTCAGTTCTGGGACAAACGAGTCTTTCGTGTTTGTGACGGGGAACGAGACCAAAGGTTTTGACTGGTCCAGGAACTGTCAGGTGCAGGTTGTGGTGACAGTGATGAAGGATCAGATTGCAACTGATGGTGACTTGATCAGCCAGTTTGCTGGTGCCATGAACGAAGGGTTCGTGCTTGAATGGCAAACTGCTTCGGAATGCGTCCAGTGTGAGGCTAGTGATGGAATCTGTGGCTACAGTAACACTGGGAAGGAGGTGCTCTGCTTTTGCAAGGATGGAAGTACAAAAAGCAGTACATGTGATGGTATGCTTGTTGCCAAATGGTAGAATAAACTAAATAAGAAAAAGCATTACATGAATGAGCACTATAACGGTTCCGATAATTTCCACATAATAGACAATTGAGTTTTATTAACTTCTTCCAAGAATTGAAAAATATGGTTACATACATATATAGCAACACAATTAGTTCAGACTGTAGTAGACATATTTCATCATTTCAGACTACATATAATTTCTCTGAAACAAGGGTTGAGATTTAAATTAAATGGTTTAGCCAATAGCAGTATAGTATAGTTAATTAGAGGCAAAAGTTGTAATAGGAACTTCAAATATTCATTTATTGCTTCAGTTTTTCTTCCTTTGTTGTTAGCTGGTAAGGTGTGTGAGTTTTATTATTTACTGATTATGTTCTGTTTTAATAATAGCAGGGGGAAGCAGTACCGGTTTGTCAAGATTAATTATAGGTATAATTTATGTTTTGAATTGTATTCCTTGCATTTTCTTGTTTCACAAAAGACTCTACTCACTTTATATTAACTGTTTACAACCTCATAAATAGAATTTTCCACAACAGAAATATTAAAAAGTAACTCTGCCTGATGTATCAGAATCACAAATTTGCACATGCTAACTTTCTCCTAACAACATAATCTTAATAAAAAAGTAACTCCCAAAGCCTTGGATTTTATAGAACAAGTAAAGAGAATAGATAAAAAGATAACAAATATAAACTAGGATTCTCCGGAGAAATTATTTATGTGGTTTATTATCATTTATCTCGCAGAATTTAGAAGTTAAACTAAACCATAGCATATAAACTTCAACTCGATAATTAATGTTTCTCATAGGAGAGTGATCTTTCCATTGTGTATGTATCAAAACTTCAGAACCTTCATATCAAGGACTATGAGAGCTGAATTACCTTCTACTTTTGCTTACAGGTTTAATTATAGCTGGAGGAATCGGTGCACTACTGACATGCATCGTACCTTACATTTTTAGACGAAAATTTTCACCAATTTTGTCAGAAATTCGGCAGGCCAAGAAGATTGACCGAGACATAGAGGCCTTCATCGGAAATAATGGACCTCTTCCCATAAAAAGATACTCATACTCAGATTTAAAGAAAATGACCAATTCTTTTGAATCCAAACTAGGACAAGGTGGTTATGGTCAAGTATATAAAGGAAATCTATGCAGCAACTCTCCCGTGGCGGTGAAGCTACTGAATGCTTCCAATGGAAACGGGGAAGAATTTGTCAACGAGGTTATAAGCATCAGTAGAACATCTCATGTAAATATTGTTAATCTCCTTGGTTTCTGTCTTGAAGGCAAGAAGAAAGCTCTTATTTACGATTTTATGCCTAATGGATCACTTGAAAAGTATATTCACAAGAAGAATTTGGAAACTGATCCACCCTTGAGTTGGGAAAGACTGCACCACATTGCTGAAGGAATAGCAAAAGGATTGGAGTACTTGCATAGAGGGTGCAACACTCGGATATTACATTTTGACATAAAACCAAGCAACATTCTTTTGGACAAAAATTTCTGTCCTAAAATCTCTGATTTTGGGATGGCCAAGCTCTGCTCAAACACACAAAGTATCATATCTATGTATGGTGCTAGAGGGACAGTTGGGTACATAGCTCCAGAAGTGTGGAACAGAAACTTCGGAGGGGTGTCATACAAGTCTGATGTTTATAGTTATGGAATGATGATTTTGGAAATGGTTGGAGGAAGGCAAAATATGAGCATTGAAGCAAGTCGTTCAAGTGAGATATATTTTCCCCATTGGATATACAAGCATGTGAAGGTGGGAAGAAATTTAACATGGCATGAAGGTATGACCACAAAGGAAAATGAAATTTGTAAGAAAATGATTATTGTGGGATTGTGGTGCATACAGACAATCCCTTCTGACAGGCCCGCTATGAGTAGGGTGGTTGAAATGTTAGAAGGAAGCATGGATCAGTTGCAAATTCCGCCAGAGCCATTCATATTTACTCCTATGAAAACTGAAGTGGATATTTGCACCACTAGTTGCAGCGATTGATTCTCAATTTCTGATTATTAGACTAGAACTTCGTAGAACTATTGTATAACAAGTTTCCATTTCGACAGGCAACTCATGAATACTATTAATGATTCTGCAAAGAATTATAATATATATTTCATTCTGCTACTACTTTAAACAAGTTTCCACATATGCAATTCGACCAAGACTTTAAAACAATAAAATGAAATTGATGGAGATAAGAAGTAAGGTATTTTTCTTCAAGACAAAGCACCACCCAAAACATGACAAGATAATTTCTCCCTTGTCTCAGAGTTTAGTAACTAGGACAAACAGAAAGTTGTGAGGTTTGCTTCTTGGCTTGGATCTACTTAATTTATCTAGACAAAATCAAGGTAACAATTATTAGTATTGCAAAAATGAAAGAAGTGTGTGTGTGAGAGAGAGGGAGCACTTGGAGAGGTAGAGAAAAACAATTTACCTTCAAGTAGGAATAATCAAAATCTTGTCTTGTTCAAACAAGTTATGGTACTAAGGCTTAAGCAGATTAATCCCACCCTTAACACAAATCATATTGTGGGTTGCCTTTCCTTGCAACAAGACAAGATAATATATAGATTACAACAATTATCTAATATAATGGTATAGAAGAAAAATCAAATTAATAAATATAATTGTTGTCATAAAATTGGGGGTTAATTAATAGTTTTTCTACTTTCTTTAATCCACTAGGCCCATCACTTTTGGGCTTGGTCCAACAAAATTTCTTCTTCGTCCTTATCCTTTTAATATCTTGAATAGAAGTGAGCTTGGAACATTACAAGATTACTCAAAGAAAGTATCAATGGATGCTATTTATGAAATAATTGCTTGGTTAAAATAATGACCAGACGGTTTCCACAAATCAGAGTTGTGAATGAGAAAGACTGAAACCTGAATTTGGAAATCTTAAAGATATTTTCACGTTATTTGACAGTTTCATTTTTCCTAAATATCCTTTTCTCAGACACGTGTGATGCACACGGGTAAATTGCCCGTGCGCTTAAAGCTTACCGGTGTGATACGGCAAAAGTTACATCACTCTCCTTCTCCTGAGTCAAATCATACTTCTGTTAACCACTCAAATTATTTTATCCATCCTCGTTTCAAATAATCATATATAATACTTCTATGTACACACTCACCGCGTCCAATTTTCAAACCAACACACTACCATAAAAATATACAATACAACACTTTGATAAATCTTCTTGTTTTTCCTTAATTTCCTAAAGGAACCAAGGAACTTTCCACCTTTCTGCTGTTCTCCTCACTCACAAAGTTTTCAACAAAAACATGCCAGGCTTCACCTTTCATATCACTCCAACTTTTCCATCCATCCATGTAACCATGACCACCCCTTCCTCCTTCCTTGCATCCATACTCGCCCTTGCTTTCTTCTTTGCAACTTTGCCACAATCCTACTCTCAAGAGAACAACACGTACACTATTTGCAGCCAATCTTTCAGTTGTGGGACTCTCACAAACATATCCTATCCTTTCTGGGGAGGGAACCGACCCCAGTTTTGTGGCCGCAATGGCTTCAAGCTAACGTGCATGCATAACCAAAACACTTCGGTTCAAGTTGGTTCCCTAAACTTCCATGTACTACACATTAACCAAACGGCTTCCACCATGAGAATGGTGCGAACAGACCTTGTTTATGATCGCTGCTCTTCCAATTTCACTAACACTTCTCTAAGTGCCAGTCCCTTTAGTTTTCTCCCCACTGTTCAAAATGTCACTGTATTCTACGAATGCCCCTCTGACAATTCTGTCGTGGGGAACAACTTTACGTGCCAGAACGATAGAAATAAACACGCTTTCTATGTGGTCAACGGAACTCAGCTGAAGCAGTTCCCAGGCCTTCAGAAGTGTGAGATTAGCGTTCTTGTGCAGGTTTCACATGATGTTGTGTGGGGTTCTGAGAATGGAATTGAGGCGCTTAAGAAAGCGTTAGGTCAAGGTTTTGATGTGACGTTTGATGCAGAGTGGAGTTCTCAGTGTAAAGCATGCAGGAATTCTGGAGGAGCATGTGGAACGAATGAGAATGATTCGGCTCAGTTTTCTTGCCATTGCTCGGGCGGAACTCGCGGTTCAGTGTGCTCTGATCACAAAAGTATGTTCTCTTTCCTCTTCTCCATTTTCTGGAATCGAATGTCTCTAATAGACCAAAAATGTTTCTTTTGATGTCCTGTCATTTTGTTTCACCTCTTCCTGCCTATGCTATAATTTAAGCGTGAAACGCAGTGATGAAAAACTCAACAAAGTGTATTTTACCTCAAACATATAAAGACCATGCTTTAAATAGAAAAAAGTTTAGTGATTCTACAAGGCACACAGACCAGTTAAAGATGCATGTTCTGAACGAGTTAAAGATTGAAAGTTTATAGTCTGCAGTGGGATCTAAGAATCTAAGGTGATGCATTCAGAACAGAGGTGTTAGAAGTAGAGTCAAATCCATCAGCTTTATTCATTAAAATCGTCCTTCAGGAAAATCAATTGCTCTTTTCATTTAGTATTTTACACTAGAAGAGACCACCATCACTGTTATATACCAAAAGCTATCGATGAACTGGATGTTAACACATCAAAACTGTCCCACGAAATAAACTCTTCTGTTGTTTGTAAATTATAGTATTAAAATTAATAAGAAAAACCTCGTAACTAGTCATAGTTTAAGAGTAATAATTACTAGTATTAGACTCTAGGTAGAGTGAGGGAAATATATTAATTGGGCATGTGCGTCATGAGACAGAGACATGGTTAAAATATGGGGAATCTTCATTGCAATAACTATTAGTTTGTTGCTAAAAATGCGTAGAATTTTAGCATCCAGCGTCAACATTTTGTTTCTTTTAGCATTACAAGTTGACTTAGATGATTCAGCTGAGACGTTCCAGCTATCCGGGAACCCCATTTCTTCTTAAACAAATATACTTTGTGCAGCATATGCGTAGTAGTGTATAATAAAAAACTATATATTGATGAAAAAACAGGTCACAAAAGTAGATCCGCGTGGCATGACTAATTGATACGCGAACGCGACACTTCTACTTGTTTACCGCAATGGTTGACTTTTCAATCACCACTGCGTTCCAGCGTAATGGTAGGACACTTGTTGGTGTGGTTTAGGTGGATATCAGATAATGTTCAGGAATCAATCACGGGATTATATTTGAAAATTGTAACACTCACTTAACTTATTACGCCTACTTGTTTTCTCATAAATTGTTATGATTCAACATTTTTAAACATAATACTTGACTAGTTGTTATAATTGGAGTTTGGATTCTCTGTAAAAATTGTCTATTAGAGTCTCAATCCTGATAGTGATGTATTTTTTTCGTGGCAGGTGGAAGGAAGAGCAGAGTGTTGAAGCTGGTTTTAGGTGCACCTTTTCTTAAGCCCTTTTTCTTATTAGACGCATGTGTATTTTCGACAGAATCCAATTATGTTAAATCTTCTTGAAATCTTAAGTATAATCAATTATCCTGTAACCTTACACTTAACTCTGCTAACAGGTTTCGTTGCTACTGGATTTGCACTACCTCTAATCGCTGTCATCATATGCCGCAACAAAGCAAGAATTTGGAAATTTATATTAATACAATTTGGCAAGATAAAAAAGAATGATCGAGTTATAGAAGCCTTCCTTGAAAGCCAAGGTTCTATGGGTCTAAAGAGATACAGTTTCTCTGATGTCAAGAAAATGACCGACTCCTTAAAAATTAAACTGGGGGAAGGTGGTTATGGTTCTGTTTACAAAGGAAAATTATTCAACGGTTGCTCAGTGGCAGTGAAGATACTGAACGAAACAAAAGATAATGGCGAAGAGTTTATCAATGAGGTTGCTAGCATAAGCAAAACATCCCACGTTAATATTGTCTCTCTCCTTGGATTTTGCCTCGAAGGAAGCAGAAAAGCCCTCATCTATGAGTTTATGTCCAATGGTTCACTTGAGAAGTACATTCACAAGAAAACAGCAGAAAAAAAAAAAACTGCTACTCCATCCTTGAGTTGGGACAGATTGCACCAGATTGCAATAGGCATAGCTCGAGGACTTGAGTACTTGCATAAAGGATGCAACACTCGGATTCTGCATTTTGACATTAAGCCACATAACATCCTCTTGGATGAAACTTATCGCCCAAAGATATCAGATTTTGGGCTTGCTAAGCTTAACACAAGAGATGAAAGCATCATATCAATGTCGAATGCTAGAGGGACAGTGGGGTACGTGGCTCCTGAAGTGTTCAATACAAGTTTTGGAGGTGTTTCACACAAGTCTGATGTTTACAGCTACGGAATGATGCTGCTAGAAATGGTTGGAGGACAGAAGAACATCAACGTTGAAGCCAGTCGCTCAAGCGAACTATACTTCCCACAATTGGTTATCTACAAGAAGCTTGAGCAGGGCAATGATTTGGGACTTAAAGGGATATTGTCTGGTGAGGAAAATGAGATAGCAAAGAGAATGACTTTGGTGGGTTTGTGGTGCATCCAAACAATTCCATCTCACAGACCTACCATAAGTAGAGTGATTGAAATGTTGTTAGGTAGTGTGGATTCCTTGGAAATGCCACCAAAACCTTTCCTCTCTTCTCCTCCAAGATCAACCACAGATTTTTCCACTGCAATATCCCAATCATTTGGTAGTGTCTGATGCAGCTGAGTTGCATGTGTTCTGCCAGAATTTCAAACATATAGTATACCGAATAACATTCGGTATTGATGATTAAAGTTCGAGGTTTGATCGGTCTGTCTTTCATTTTCATGCAATAGTTACGTAAGTGTCTTTTCTTTCTTTTTATTAGGAGGAGATGGGGCATCATGCATGCATATATGTAAAATAACTGCAACAATATGAAATAGTTTGTGCTATCATCATGAGAAAAATAATTTTATTTTTATTTAATATTTCCATTACTAAATATTAAATAGCCTATTAACCTCTTACAAGAATTAATATAAAAGATTTATAGAAGATAAAGCACCCATTTGGTACACCACATGTGAGGAAATGACAGGTTTCCAACTACACACGGCGATTGCATAACAAATGGAAAAGCTCAGAAGTTGCGTAAAGCTACTTTGCTTCTTTGATTAATCATCGAATTGTGTTCTGTTGCTTCTCTCACACTGTTCTTAATGACCTTGTTTTATTTTTCATTTTCATCATGCTTCACTTTGTTCAGTTTTTATTTAAAAGAAAGAGCAACAAATCATGGAGTCACAGAAAACTCATAGCTGTGTTACTTTCATTGCCTAAGGTCCATTCTGGTGATTAAAATTATAAAATTCAGCATCGTAAACGGGGGAAAAGCAATTCGCACGCATGTGGTTCGGCACGTCATGATAAAATGGAATAAACCATTTTCAGGTTCGAATATTACCAAAAGCATGAGCAAGAATTTTTTTTTATTAGGTCTCACAGTGAAGATGCATGTAAAATAAAACTATGACGATAAAAAAATTACTAATTGTTAAAAAAAAAGGTTACTGTATAACACATACAAATGTTTAGTTTAATCAATAAAAAATAATAATTTTTTACAAGGCGTAATAAGTTGTTTAAACATAATCAAGACCGTATTTATAAAAGTTTTAAAACATAATTTGATTAACTTTATGACATGTATTAGTTAATAAAAAAAATCGGTGTAAATAATTTTGAAAATAAAGTTCTTCATATATAATTAAATTTTTTTAAAATATATATATAAAAACAGAGGTCGTGTTTAGAACTACTTGTTTGAAACAAAATGGAACTTACTAATTATCGTAAGTGAAAAAATAATTTGGTGAGAATTAGAATGGAAAAAAAAAATTGTGACAGTTGAGGGTTAGAAAATGGAAAACCAGGAAAAGAGACACCCATAAAATTCCTCGTCGCACAAATGTCATCCCAACAAGCATTCATCTTCTGCAAACTCAACTCTCGTTAAGGTCCTCTCCCCTCCCTTGCTTTTCCCCCACCTATAAATACACCTCGCACCATTCTCTCACTAACACACTTTCTCTCTGTTCTCAACGTTCTCGATTTCCTTTTCCTTTCTTCAGGTAGCCCACCCATGGTGCTCTTCAAGGTCTCACGCGTGGACACCACTCCCTTCGATGGCCAGAAGCCTGGAACCTCTGGTCTCCGCAAGAAGGTTGCATTTCTTCTACACTTCTTCCCAATTCACCGTCGCCACTTCATCCTTTACCGAATCATTTCATCCTTCGGTTTCTCCGCCCTCGATAGTTTCATTTTTCTCAGAATTGCACTATCGGATCTTTTCTTGAACTTAGATCTTCTGATTCCGATCTGTCTCGGATCATGTTATTTCGATTGAGCTGCATGTGTTGTGTGTGCGTTGTGTTTGACATGAATCGCGATTGGATCAGAGAAAACTTGTTTTAAGCTGTTAAAGATCAACCTAATTGTTTACTTTCTTGGAAATGCAATGTAGTTTGCGTTATTTATTTTTTTTCTGATGCAAGATCTGTTTCACATTGCTCGTTGCTTCTTCGATTCTCATTATTCGTTCTATTAATAGTAGTGGTTCGTTGGTCGATGGATCTTTTCAGGTGAAAGTGTTTGTGCAACCTCATTACCTCCATAACTTTGTTCAGGCAACGTTCAATGCACTAACTGAGGAAAAAGTTAGAGGTAGGAGTCCTTCAATTTTCTTACTTTGCTTCAAACACACGGTGGTGAAATATTATTGTCACCAGAAATGAATATACTTTTTTCTCATGACTAATAAAGACAGGGATTCATCATATCTTTTTAGAAACTGTTTTCATTTCCCTTTTTTCCTTTTCTTGTTTCATTATACTGTGGGATCTTAAGAACGGTTTCTTCCACTTATGTAGGTGCAACACTAGTTGTATCTGGTGATGGTCGTTATTTTTCAAAGGAAGCTATTCAGGTACTTTTCCACTGTCTACTGCTGTTGTTTTTAATGTAGTCTTCGTGGTGTCTGAAGTAATTGGTTTATCAGTTACTTTACAAGTGCTGCCAAATTGGTAACATGTCTTTTGGAAAAATTCTCATTTGCATTGCTTTGATGCCTTACAATTTTCGCGATGTTGTCACTTTGAAGTTGAGCTTTTTTTCTTTGGTTTAATTTGATTTGTTCTACATCTAACCTAGGCAGGCATTTTGACAAATCTGACTACACAACTTGTGTTTTTTTTAATATAGTTTATATATATCAGCCTCGAAATTTACTAGATTTTTTTAATAAAAAAAAAAATTAAAGTTTACAGGTTCAGATCTTATGATAACAAGGAGATGGAAACCAAAATATCATTTTCCAGCTTCAAAGTTTTGTACTCTGTAATAGAGACTTATTTTGTTTCTTTAACTCACTACACCGCTGGATAAATATCTCCTCCCCTATGACTTCTTATATGAGATGACAAAGAGAGGGAGGATATTTGTTTCATGCTGCATAACATGTTTGTCTTCTATTATCAATAATATTATTTTTCATATCACAAATGATGTCAACGAATATGCAGATTATAACCAAAATGTCAGCAGCAAATGGTGTAAGGCGTGTTTGGATTGGTCAAAATGGATTGCTTTCAACTCCTGCTGTATCTGCTGTCATACGTGAAAGAGTTGGAGCTGACGTGAGTAATATTTTCTGCGGTTTGGTTCTCATTATTTGTTCAACTCATTATTAAGCTTCGTATATGTTATGTTTCTTTGAATATGGTGCATGATTTTCATAGTGGAAGAACATAAGGTAACCTTTTTTTTTTTTTTTTCCTGCTGAATCAAAATGAAAATAATGGATAAAAAAATTGTGTTATCTGTACAGGGATCCAAGGCAACAGGTGCATTCATCCTGACAGCAAGTCACAATCCTGGTGGTCCTAATGAGGTGAGAATTTCCATGTATTACTTTAAATATTTCTGGATGAATTAAATATATAAAGTATAATGACAGGAATTTAATGTGTGGATCTCTCTCACGTTCTATTTCTGAAATCTGAACTAAGTTTACTGACATTTAGCCTGTAGCTTGGCGACTTGAATTGTTTGTGGTTGACTTGCACTGCTTAAATAAATATAATTTGTGTATTACGGAGTTACAAATGACATGAAAAGAAAAAAAATATACTCAATTAATTTTTTTCATCTTGTAGTTTCACAAATGATTTGTGTATTACGGAGTTTCATGCTGCATAACATGTTTGTCTTCTATTGTCAATAACATGTTTGTCTTCTATTGTCAATTACCGTGTGATTTTAAAATTGTAGTTTTTCTCAGATATCAACAAGAAATAATAAAGTTAATGAGGTGAATATTTCCAAAAGGTAAATGTAGGAGTGGATTGGTGTTTCTTGTGTGGTATTATACTGAGATCTTGTTGGTTGTAAAATTAACTCCAAATAATTGTAACTGTCATTTGGTTTCTGTGTTGCAGGATTTTGGGATTAAATATAATATGGAAAATGGTGGACCTGCACCGGAGGGAATTACTAACAAGATATATGAATACACGACAACAATTAAAGAGTACCTGATTGCCGCAGATCTTCCAGATGTACTGCTCGAGAACTGGCTACAAATCCTCTTTTCGTTATTTATATCACCTAGTTTTAATTTAGACTGTAATTTATTTTATCAACCTAACCCTTGTTTCCATTCTATATTTTCCCAGGTTGATATTAGCACAACAGGTGTTACAAACTTTACAGGCCCTGAAGGACCATTTGATGTTGAGGTTTTCGATTCAGCAAGTGATTATATCAAATTGATGAAGTAAGAATTTTTACGACTTCATATTACACTCTGCATCAATACAACGAATTTTTATGCAAGTTGATTTCTTTGTGTCATGTCATATCATGATGACAATTGACAATTGAGCTGCAAAACTGGAGAACATTGAAGGAAGACCATGTTTAAATTGGTCAAGCTGTAATAGTTTTTCCTGCCTCCTCCGTTTTGAATATCCAGTTTGGTATCACATATAAGGCAGTTGTTCTTACGACAAACAGTTTTTTTATTTTACTAAGATAATTAAATGCTCTATATTCATGTGTGCTTCTACTGATTCCATCCTTTGTTATCCCATGATTGACATTTGGCAGGTCAATATTTGATTTTGAATCTATCAGGAAACTGCTGACGTCTCCCAAATTTACTTTCTGGTATATTTTGTGGATGCTGTTTTAAACTGTGATATAGAATTTTCTCAGTTTTTGTTTTGACCCCAAAACATTATTGTAAATATATTTAACTATATTGAAGTTATGATGCACTTCATGGGGTTGCTGGAGCATATGCGAAGAGTATTTTTGTGGACGAGCTTGGGGCTCAAGAAAGATCTTTACTGAATTGTACCCCAAAGGTCTTATACTCTTGTTGATTATTTCCAAGTATAGCTTTAAATATTCTGAATGCTGGTGGTGATTTTCTTTTGATTGTGGATAACTTGTTGGCTATAGGAAGACTTCGGAGGAGGACATCCAGACCCTAATTTGACATATGCAAAAGAGTTGGTTGCTCGTCTGGGATTAGGCAAATCAGAACCGCAAGACGAGCCCCCAGAGTTTGGTGCTGCTGCTGATGGTGATGCAGATCGCAACATGATACTTGGTAAAAGGTAGTGTTGCCCTTCATTTGTGATGAATTTAAATATTTTCTAACCTTTTAGTGTAATATTTGTGTATCTCTTGGTTGTTAGGTTTTTTGTCACTCCTTCAGATTCCGTGGCCATTATTGCTGCAAATGCTGTTGAAGCTATTCCATACTTTTCTTCTGGTTTAAAGGGTGTTGCCAGGTTTTCATCATGCTTCTTAAGTTTTAAGCTCCTTTATCTCAATTTCATCAGTAGTGTGTTTACATCTAAAGATGCACATGTGCCAATGTGCATTTGTGTCATGTTATGTAGTAATGGCAGGCTTATACTTGCATATGCTTAGTGATTGTCCTCTGTCTTGTAATTATGTACCTAGTTTCTGCAAAAAGTGTGATCGACTTTGTTTCTAACTGGAATATGAAATACGAAGAGTTTGCAGTGAATTAAATACAAAGTTACTGATCTGCCATTAGTAGAGCTTATTTCCTAGCAACTTTTGATCTTTTGGGTAACTTCATTTCTCGCCAGCCACAAGTTTCATAGTTTTAAGCTATAAATATTTTGTAGGAGCATGCCAACCTCTGCTGCCCTGGATGTAGTAGCCAAACATCTGAATTTGAAATTTTTTGAGGTACACTGCTCTTCGATGCCTTTAGATATGAAAATACTCTGTGGTGGCTTTTAGGCATCTACTTATTTAATTTATTTGTTATTTATTTGTTATTTAAAACCAGGTCCCCACAGGTTGGAAGTTCTTTGGTAATTTAATGGATGCTGGATTATGTTCAGTATGTGGCGAAGAAAGTTTTGGGACTGGTATGTTTTTGCCATGCATTACCAGGAGCAAATTAAAACTTTGAACTTTTCTAAAACCCAGTTTTATCTTGTGATTACTCCTTGTGTTTTTGTGGGTAGGTTCTGATCATATTCGTGAGAAAGATGGAATTTGGGCAGTTTTGGCCTGGCTATCTATACTTGCATATAAAAACAAAGATAAACTTGAAGATAAGCTTGTCACTGTTGAGGACATAGTTCGCCAGCATTGGGCTACTTATGGGCGCCATTATTATACTCGATATGACTACGAAGTATGACACTCACATTGTGTCCTATCTTGTTATAACCTGCTTTGAAAATCAGTTAATGACATCAATTATTTTCCTTAAAGAACGTGGATGCAGGTGCAGCAAAGGAACTGATGGCGTATTTGGTCAAGCTGCAGTCCTCTCTTTCAGAAGTCAATGAGTACGTTAATGTTATTAGTACACCAACATTATTTTAATATGGAGTTTGCTTACAGTATATTTTCCCTATCATGCAGTAAAAGCTTTTGCCAATAATTTGTTCATCACGTGAAATTATTTAATGTCAGTGATGTCTAGAAACTGGTCTGCACGTTGTACTTCTGGAGAATAGTAGCACTAGTTATTTAACCGCTCATCCCTATCTTTTTTATACTTGTTAGAAAGATATGCTTCTGGTGAGAGCAGTCCTATACTTGCTTGTACCTGGGTAATCCTACGCTACCACCCATCAACAAAATTACTCAAATAATCAGCATATTCCCCCAATGATAAAAAACTGGCAACATCCTGGCAGACTTGTCCAGGAGTCATTGACCTAAAACGAAAGGATAAAATTCTAGCCATATTCGAAAAAACTAGGTAATATAACCTTTCTTTGCTGGCCCTCCAAACGTTTTAACGTAAGATATTACCCAAGTATGGAAAAGTATGCATCGGTCCACTTCCTTTATGTCATCCTCCTGCTTCAGTTCACCTCCGCCCCTGATTATAGACATGTTTCTCGCCAGAATAGAATTTCCTAATTATTTAGAATAATTAAAATATAAGCAGTTGATGGACTTCGATGATGAATATGTTACAGAACCTATTTATAAATTTGCTTCAGTTCACCTCCGTTGCTGATTATTGATCTGTTTCTCATCAGAATAGAATTTTCCTCATTATTTAGAATATAATTCAAAAATAAGCTGTTGTACTTGGAGTGATGAATACGTTACAGTTACCTATTTAGTTCATTGGTATTTGACCTAGGAATAAGATAACTCGGTAGGGGGTTGAATTTGTCGTAACCTGATAAATCTAATGAATTTTATTCACTTTCTTTTTAGGATTATTAAGGGCGTAAGGTCAGATGTTTCGAATGTTGTCCACGCTGATGAATTCGAGTATAAAGACCCTGTGGATGGTTCCGTCTCATCACATCAGGGAATCCGATACTTATTTGAGGATGGTTCGCGATTGGTGAGTTTGCTGCTTGAGAAATATTTGCTGATTGCAACTAACTTGATGGAAATGGGACGACTTTCGGGACGAAGTATCAAGCACTTTTTAGATAACTAATGCATCTTCTTGCATATAATTATCAATCTTTTTATTCATCTTTTTCCCAATGTTAGGAAGTTAAAGTTGATGTGGGATTTTCTTTTCTATGGATATATTTCATTTGCTATTTTCTCTTCATTTTTTATGGGGTATACTAACTTTTGTTTTCATATGTACAATACGCTACCCTAGATTTTCCGTCTCTCTGGAACTGGATCAGAAGGTGCAACTATTCGACTATACATTGAGCAATATGAGAAGGATCCATCAAAGATTGGGAGACTTTCAAATGAAGCACTTGCTCCTCTTGTAAGATGCTTATAATATTTCAAACTGAAGATGCTTGTAATACTAAAAACTATCTTGACTGACTTGAATATCTCAATTCCAGGTGGAAGTTGCATTGAAACTTTCAAAAATGGAGGAATTCACTGGTCGATCTGCACCAACAGTCATTACATGA